TAAAAACATAGAAAAGGGTTAGGTGCAGCAGCTAGCCGCTTGTCCAATGTCGATATTTTCGCTTTATAGCCCGATTTTTCATTTGTATGTTGAATTGTTATTATATCTACGAGGAGGTCCAAGCATTAATCCTGCTACAGATGTACAACCCTATAATAATCGATGAACTGAGCTATAACCTAAACCTCAAGAATTATATTAGAATTAAACTAACCTAAAATACAGTGATACCTTGCACTAAACCTATTATTAATAGATTTTTATATTTGAATCCGTGAGATGATGATTTACATGGAGTTTTTTAGGGCATGAATTTAATATTTCATAAAATTACGATTTTCTAGCACCATTTAATAATATAATTGAACTGCTTTTGAAAATACTTGAGAAATTGATTTTAATAAGATATATATGCATTCATTATTATTTTTATTAGAATTATAAAATTTAATCTAATTTGATGCTAGTATACATAAAATCTAAAGTTTAACCCAAGTTGGATTATTAGTTAAATCGGTTAAAATTAGGACCTGATCAAACTCGATCGAGTCAACTATGAGCTAATCAAATTTTATTCTTTAGATATTTAAAAATTCTAAAAATTCAATATGTTTATTCATTTTACTATTTAAAAAAAACTTGAATTTATAAAATCATGGATTATAACTGTTGTTATTTGGATATTTAGGATTTTAAGTTTGGTTTATAAATTGAATACTTAAATTATGCTTGTTAATTCAAGTTTTGAAGTCTTTAAATTTTTATTTTTTTATTTTTTGTTTTTTGAATCAATTAAATGTGTAGAGGTTAAAAGTAATGTTGAAATTGATACAGGTCATTGACTCATCCATTGATTTGTAGATATACCTAATAATCAAAATCTTTTTCCGAATCAATTTTCTAAAAACTACAATTTTTATCGACTTTTTAAATTGGAATAGCATTGCCACACTTTTACACGTTGCATTAGAAAGAAGTAAGTGGACACGGTGAAGGCATGAGAAAAAACATACCAAATGGTCACCATAGTGAGGTTAGTGGATATTTTCTGGTCACTTCACATGGCAGCTGGGAAGATTTTGACCTGCGGCATGGCTCGACGCGAAAACCCATCAGCGCTTTACATTTATCTATCATGGCACACTTGAAAAGTATCCGCCGCTGTGCCACCTTAGAAATGGCAAACCCTGCAAAAGCGTTCTGGGCTGATAGGTTTTTCTTTATCACGTGAATTCCTCGATTTCCCTTGAAATCTCTGGGAAAAATGCAGATAGACATCACATCAGCACTAGCTCTTTCGATCTTCTTGTTTTGTGCACCGTCCAATTATCAATCCCACTTTCCCGTCGTTGCTATTTTTTTAATGAATCCACTTTCAGTGATGCAAGATAAGTCGAGCTCTATCCCTTACAGAGGAACTAAGTATCACATGTTGAATGAAAAAGTTTTTTTTTTTTTTTTTGTTGGACGTGGATGTAGTGGTTGTTTGTGTATATCTAAATTAAGTTTTGAAATTAATAATTAATTAAATCTTCAATAATTTTGAAATTTGTAAGATTCAAACCAAAAAATCTGTAAATTCCGAACCAAAAAATCTAACTAGTTAGCTTCTTTTCTTTTTATGATGGTTAACATTCCAATCGAATTGAAAAGAACAAAAAATGGTGTAAAAAGCTGTTCCCATGCATAAATCTTGCTGTCCAACTAAATAAAGTTATCATCTCTAACCACAAGAATCTCAAGACCTGTGGAATCTCAAGACCATTTCTTTTTGTGTTTATATATCAAAAATTAAACAAATTATTTTAATATATTTTCAAGTAAAAAAACATTTTTAAAAAACATTACATATAGCAATAAATAAATACACCTTCGGTGTTCATAGTATGATGATGAATTGTTACATGATGCCAATGCCAGACTAATCCCACCCTCTAAATGCAATACTTCAAAATAATCTAGAGTACAAGCATATACTAAATAAGTTTTGTAGATTTGAAAGGCCGACTACATAATGAAAGCAAAATGAGCCTACAAACCTTCGCACGGTGAGTTTCTTCTGGACAAATATATGCTTCCAGAGGCAAGAATGCATGATCAGTTCCCTTTTGGACTATCAGCAGCTCAACTCCTGAATGCTCATCAGTTCTTGCACCCGTTCTGCAGATGGATTGTGTTGCAGCAGCCAGTTTAAGAAATATCATGAACTCCTTTATAAACGTGTCTGACAGATAAACCCTTGCTTACAAGTTTAAACTTGAATTAGATATTAGTTCAATAACAGATATAAGGGTACAAAAAAAGGTGGAGAAAAAAACAAGCTAAGCTGGATTTGGCAGGCAGTACAATACTGAGACAAGTAGTCTATCAAAATCGGTAGGAACTATCAGGCCCATACTTGCTTCTGATATTGTAATGCTCAAATTTTGGACTATTGGAGTCCACATGCTTCATCTCAGCAGGTTTTGGCTCAGCCCCGATCGCTCCAAAAACCACTTCACCACTTTTATCTCGTTGGCGATGCCTTGATTTTTCTTTGTGACTCTTTGACCTGACATGAGACGGAACCTCACCTGAACCATAGAATTCTGCATATTCTTGTCGTTTTGAAGACCGATGCTTGCTTAACAAAGAAGGATCCTTAAAACTGGCAGACTTGATCTTTGGTGGTTTCACTTCCGAGTATTTATCACTTGTAGTTGGAGTATGGACCTGGCGACTTTCAGATACAGTAGCAGGAGTACTCTGCCTCTGAACTGATGGAGGCTCAACTTCATCTTCAGGCAGTGTTAGAGAATCTTTCAAAGGAGTGAGGCCTGCTCTGGCTTCACCTGGTCTGTTCCAAGAAGGAACAAAACAGAGGAGTATACCAACCAATGCTTCAAGAGCAAGCTTAGATAGATCAATCAAAAGCTGTCCAAAAGATGGCCACTTGGGCTCCTCTTTCATGTTCTCCATAATAGGAATGGGTTTTTCCTTACTTGATTTCTTTTTAAATTCACTCTCTGAAGATTGTTTCTGCATTATAAGCATTGGATTTAGAGAACAGGATAAGAAGAATCCAAAAAGAAAAACATTATGATGCAACTGAAAACATGCATCTCCATTGGAGTAACAATCTAGTATGTGTTCTAACCTTCCCTAACCAAACCAAAACAACTTCTAAAACTATATCAATGCTACAGATAATGGAAACAAAGCCAAATTCACTTCTAATCTACAGTTCACAGCAGATAGAATCAGATAACTACAGCCAAAAAGATGCTCATACATTCTCAAGCAGCATACAAGCTTTCCTCAAGATTGCTTCCGTGTCAGAATTATTTTTAAAATTAAATTGGCTACTTAATGGAATGGCAAACAGATAGTTACTGAATTGAAGGAAAGAAATGATATCTTCATAAGGCTAGTAAGGATGAAGCAAGTAGGTATTTGGATCCCAGATTAACCATTTTGAGGAAATTAGAGAAATCATAAGAAATCATACCATTCTTGAGAAGAAAGAAGACCCAACCCCCTGCTGAAGCATGCACGTAGCATATCCAATCAAGACGGCACCAACAACCATAATCACATCTTCCAAAAGATCCATGAAGTACATCAGTCAGTAAGGGATAGTCCCAAGTGGCATTCAAAATCCAAGTGATGTAAAACAGTGTTTAATTCCATTGACCTCAAGAAACATTACAACAAAAATAAATGCCTAAAATAGAAAATAAAGAATTTTTGGTTGGGTTGGGTATGGGAGATATGCTTGGGGCCTTGGACAATGGGCATGGGAGTTGGAGATTCAATGTTGAAACCAAAATGCAATCATGTTTTTCGTTGCTGAACCAATCCATTTTTTCTCATTTCTAGGATCATGAGCACATGCTTGGGAACTTGTATCCAAAAAGACTAAATGACATTCACTAAAAGAATACCATGCATTGCACAATCTTTCAACAGGAGTTAATGACGGGTGGATCATTGACGGTATGAAAAAAAAAGTTACAACCAGCATGAAGCAACCAAATCCTGTACCAGAGTAGGGCAGCATACACGTGAATTGCGTTGATTGACCCATAGGTATTTTGGTTCCATAGCTCATTATGTTTTAGTGGTTCTCTGTTTCCTAGGTGGTGCTACAGCAGGAAGTCACAAATTATGTGAAAATTTGAGTATATCTTTGAACTAAAGCTAAAGATTTTATCATGAAAGAGAAAAATTCAAATGGCAGCAAAGGCATGGACAATCAAAGAGAACACCCCAGGACCTTGTTTTGCTCGCTAGTCTGTTGCTTTCTATTGCTGTCTTACTTGTGCGCTCTATTGATTGGACGTGTACATCTCTTCACTATGATAAACTAAACACCTCCCCTGCAGCCAACTACCATATTACACATTTTCTGTCAATGACTAATCCATGCCAAGGTCAAACTAGAGACTAGGCTGGTAAAGTTAGATTCAAAACTTAAATTCTGTTCCACGTGTAGTTCTTGGCTTGGTTGAAATGGACTGTATTCCAGATAAAGTTTAAACAATCTAATGCCATAAACCAGCAACATGACTTTATCACTACCCCATCTTTAAAAGAAAGGTGATAAAAAAGAATATGTAATCATACCTGTCATAGTAAATGAACTGGACTGATAATCACAATCCTCTTGGTTAAGCGAGATTTGCCGAAGAGCAGCATTTCCTCTATCGACAACTAACAAAGAACAGATAGAGTGAAGATACACCACATCAAAATCATTTGAGAATTTGGCATCTTCACTGGGTCCATCTCTAAAACCTGCAACGTTTGATTTCCCCCCAGCAATGGTTGTGACACCTGCAGATAATTTCCAAATTTAGCATCTTTATTCCATCATATACACTCAAATGTTCATCTTTCAACAATTAAGATTTTTCAAATCTTTGTGCATCATCCTTTACATTATAACTAGTCAAGGATTGTCAAAATTGATCACATGCCAGTAACTCCAACTATACACCTTATGAGTATATATGGCACTGAATTAGGGTGCTATAAAAGGCCTTTTCAACCCAAAACATGATTTAGAAACCCAAAAATGATTGACTATCAGTGCAGTATGAGAGGATGGAATACTGACCACATCCCAAACTATGGTTTGGGGGAAGCTACCATACAAGATTTGTCCACGCAAGCAATGCCAAACACACCGTATATGTAGTTGAATTAAGTCATTTTCTCATAAAAAACACTAATATTTACAACTTCACATCTTGTGCAAACTCTTCATACCTGCATCTCCAATCTTTCTGATGGCTAGATTCAAAGTATCAGCGACATATATGTTCCCTTTATCATCCATGGTTAGACCTCTGGGATGATTAAAACGAGCCTCATTTGGTTTTCCATCAATATGTCCTGTGTAACCCTGAAATGACCCAGCTACCAATCTTGCCCTACTATCTGTAAGAAATAAATTACAGATCAAAACACAAAAAGTCCACCAAATCTATAGCTCCAATCCAAACCTTCATTTATTTATTGTGGATAGAATTGCCGTTTCCTCACTCAGTGCAAAGAAGGCATCGTGTAGGCTCACAGAGTTGGATTTTAAACTGAGTTGCTCTTAAAATAGGAAATGCACCTAGAAGAATTCTTTATCTCATTCTACTTTTTGAGAAAGCCAACAATAGCAGGCCCATCGATACATCTGTTTTACGTTGTTTGCAGCAAACGGTTGAATTATGCTTAACAGAATGAATTATCTACTATTTTTCAGGCCCTGAAAGGCTAAACTATAAAGAAACATAACCTCAACAATAAATTGGCTGTCTTGAAACATTTTCACAGCATTCAAACACAGCTTAAAACCGACAAACTGCAACAAAAGAAAGGAAATCAACAAGCATAAACACATACATTGTGACAATGGTGGAGTGATTTTAACAACGTTGCTATTAACTTCATCGACAGCATACAGTTCACCATCCTCAGAAAGGCCTATTTTGTAAGGAACCACTCCCATTGCATTTCCTTCCACAACAGTCTCAACTAAGTATCCATCCTCAAACTGAAGAACATTCCCATCTGCAGAAAAAAAGCAAACCACGCAGAAAAAAAATCATAAAGCTTGATCATGAAATAACAAGAAGAGAACACAAAAGGGTAATTCAAATTAACCTGAATGGGGTGTTTTTGAGGATGCCACAGTGGTGGTCCATTTGAGAAGATAAGACAAGTGCTTAATCAAAGGTGCTAAGCATCCAAATACAAAAAAATAAGTTAAATCACAAATGAGGAAAAAATCAAAGAAAAATAACCAAACCCCTCTAAGTAAAACATATCAAAACTAAGGACAGGAGAGAAATACCTGTAGGAGCAGCATGAGCTTGGAATTGAAAAGTACAAGCCACGGAAAGTAGCAGAGCTAGTATAAAAGTAAAGTAGAAATGCGATCTTCTCATAGCTCTCTCTCTCTCTCCAGACAAACCCAAACTCAAAAAATAACGACACAGAGAGAGATAGATTAGTATTCTAGCAGTAAAATTTATGGGGTTAGATTTTCAAGAAGAAGAGAACGGGACGGACGTTATTTTTGGCAGCACTGTGCGTTGTAGCTGTTGCTTGGCAGCTATCTAGCTAGCTCGTTTTTAGAAGTGATTACTGTCTGTGTAGTAAAGCAGCTTTATTTTATTTATTTATTGGCATCTCTCTTTGCATGTGGATTTTTTTCTCCTCTTTTTTTTCTTTCTTTTTTCATTTTCTTTTAGAGGTATAATAATAAAAAGATAGAATAAATAGAAAGTGAAATTTTAAAGGAGGACAGAGGAAAGAGATGGTTAGGATCTTCGTGTTCATTGAAGGTTGTTAAAATTACGATTTGATTTATAAAATTATATAATTTTATAAGTTAATATAAGTTTAATGTGTTAAATTATTTATAAAATTAAAAAATGAATGAAATCAAGTTAATATCAAATAAAATAAAAATCAGGTGAAATCACCACCGACCGATTTAATGATTTCACTGCAAAAGATAAAACTGTCATTGATATTACAGGTGTCCAGCGACTATTGGCATTTGGCTTATTGCTGTTACAGAACAAAAGTAGAAATTGCAAAATCACGTTCTTTCAGACTTTCAGTGTTTAACTTTCACAAAGACAATTAGATGGTGAGAATTCAATTTCAGCTTATGCTAGATGCCGCGATCAATTAGCAACTCTCCTAGCTTAAGAGGAAGCATATTGGAGGCAGCGAGCAAAGCAAATATGGTTGAAGGAGGGTGATTTGAACAGAGTATTTCCATGAGATGGCTTCTAGTAGAAGAAAGTGCAAGAAGTTGATTACACTGATTAATGATGCGGGTGAGGTGTTTGATGAGATGGAGGGGATGAACAAGGTTGTGTTGGGATGTCTTCTCTAACTGTTCGACAAAAGTCCTGACTCAGAATCACCTTTGCTAGACTTATAGTCAGCCGTGTGTTTCATCTGCACAAAATGAATCATTGCTGGCTCCATCCAGTACAAGATGATGTAATAAAGAAAGTTGTTCCCCAGGTGAAACCTTATATCTGTTGAGGATTATTATGGAGGTAATTTATTACAGAGATAAATTAACTAGTTGCCTAATTAGGATTTCAATTTTAGTATCAGTTTAATCCGTATAAGAAAAACATTTTTATTTAAAATTTTAAAAAGAATAAATTTAAAAAAATACATGTCAATTAAAATTAATATATAAATTTTTACATGTAAAATAAATAAATAAATTATTTTATCTTCTATATAATCAAAACTTAAAACTCAATTACATGTAAAATAAATAAATAAATAAATATTTTATCTTCTATATAATCAAAACTTAAAACTCAATTACATTTTAGTTTAGTGCAAAGAGTAAAGTTTAGTATAAAATGCAAAAATTACTTGGCTAACCAAATTATTTTTTCATCTTGGTTGTATAAAAAATATAAGTTACCGTAATAGCAATCGGTATTGAAAAAAAAAGTATTTAATTTTGAATTATTTAAATTTTTATTTGAATTATGTATTTTAAGATATTTAAATTATATATAAATTTTTTTATATTTTTTATAATTTTATAATTTTGCAATTTATTTTTACTGAGTTTAATTTATATTTCTTGTGCTGTGTTAAAATGACAATTTTAATAACTTGGATCCACCTTTGTTGTCCTCTGTGTCATCGTGGATGCTCTTGATTGGTTATTGCCTTGCATCCTTCTTCTCTTTTGTCTTCTTCTACAAGCAAAAATATAATAAATAATTCAGCTAATGCTTCATTGGATATATATATATCATTGGAGTTTATATCATTGGAGTTTTTAAATTGATCATATAGCTTGAAGCGTAATTCTTAATTCCCATGAGAATTTCATAGAAAGTGGTTATTAAGTATTTTAAATTTGACATTATTAAGCTTACAAAAATTTAAAAGCAGTCGATTACAAATTTGTCTTTTTAGTTTTTGTCATCCCTCTAATTTTAGAAACTATTTATTTAATGCCTTCATGATTGCTGATCATATTTTGTTTAATATTACTCTTTTTTTTCAAAAAAAGGCTTCTCATTGATCTTTCTGTATTATTTATTTATTTTTTCTTTTTCTAATAAATTGGAATGAGCTTGGCCCAGTTTAATTATTCAATATCATTCAGGTGCATTGCCCGTTATCATTAAAGGTGTTGAATTTAACTTTTTCTAAGAACTAAATCTAAAAATCAATTTATTTTTAGGATTGATGGCCTGATATTAAAGCGTGACTCTCAAAACAATTTTTCAAGAAAACATGTATAAAGTAATTTATGTTAGATGAGATATTTTAGAGTACTTTTTATTCTTTTTTTGTATAATCAATAATAAAGAATGTATATTAGACTAATTATAATAATTATTAAACTTGATTTGGGTTGACTCAACTAAAAAGGTCTTGAGTTTTATGGTTCAATTCAGAAAAATTAAAAAATTATATTTAAAGTTTTAATATAAAATATTAAAAAATTAAAAAATAATTTATGTGAATATAAACTATGTATAGATAATAAAGTTTTAATTCAAAAAATATTATATTATCCTTTTAAATTGAATATGTATAAATAATAAAGTTTTAATTAAAAAAATATTATATTATCCTTTTAAGTTGAAGTATTTAAACTAAAAAAATTTATTTTATATTATTAAAAAATATTATTTAAACTTATAATTTAGATAAGATTATTATTATCTTGCGTTTGATTTTTTTTAATAAGATAAGAATAGTAAAATTTAAACTTTTAAATATTTAATTATTAAAACTATAATATAAATTAAAAAAATATCACAATTCAAAATTTAAATTGTTAAATGAGATTCTAAAATATAATTAATATTATTTTTTAATATTTATCTTTTATATGCTCTCTTTTAGTTTGTCTAAATATCCTTTGCACTGCGAGCTTTTTGATGTTAAATTAGTATGTATATTAAATCAATTATATAAATTATATTGTGAAATAAAAGAATTTTAAGATTAATAACAATGCAAACTTACTAAATATGCTAAAAATTTATTCATTTCTTTATTTCTTAATTAATTTTTTTAGTTTTTTCACTTATTTTTCCTTCGTTCCCTTTATAGATATCTATCTCACTTCCAATGCTTTCTCTGTTATTAGTTTTAGATATCCACCTTCACATTTTGAACATCTAGCAGTCAAGGACTTGTAAGGTTTACAATGACAAAAAATAAAAAATAATAAAAGAAATAGTTTTATTTTGCATGTCTGGCTGCGCCTTCCACTTATTTATGTCTCCTTGTCTTAATTACTAGTTTATCCTTGCCTGAATTTGTTCAATTGAAAAAATGGAAAATCAATTTTAGCTAATTTATGGTTAGGAGCAGGGCTTACCTTGTTGTGGCTAAAATTAACGATACCCTTTTTTAAAAAAATAGGAATAGGAATTAAAGGTCCATATTATAGTTTTTATATTTTTGGTAAAAAAAATAAATGTTAAAATTTGTGTTTTTAGGGTCATAAACTCGTACCCTAATTTATTTTTTTTATCATTAGAATCACCTTTAATGATTAAAAAAATATGAGAGGTGGATCATCCATCATTTATTTAAATGGAAGACATAATATAAAAGTGCGTTTGGGCTTTATAATTTCAAGCCGAACATGCATGGTCTATTCTCTCTAAGCTAGTTATGTTTTTTTAAAAAAAAACAAAAGCTGTAATTTTTTTTTACATTTTATCATATAATTAACTTTATTTTTAATAAAAAACTGCCCTAATTTGTTTTTACAGTTTATCATAGAATTAACTTTAAATAAATTTATTCAAATGATATTAAAATAATTATATAATTATGTCACTTTTTAAACTAGTTGTTTGACTCAGTTTTGTCACATGCCATATAATTTTTTTCAGTAAAACAAATAAATATACATGTTTTTCTAATATGTTTTTTGATATAAAAAAATTCTCATTCATAAATTAAAATGATTGTTAATGCATTTTGATTAAGAAATAACTAAGATTAAAATGTTTGACTTCACCGTACAATTCGGTCATATTTAATAATTTTGTTTCCTGTAATAAATGTTTTATTCAATTAAATAATTATTTGTGCTAGTAAAAGGTGAAAAAAAAATCATTAATTAAAGCTAATTGAATAAAACTATGAAGCTCAACTATAAAACAACTTAATATTGAATAGCAAAACTAAAAAAAAAAACAAAATTTTAAACAAATCTAATATTGGTGGATAAAATAAAAAATATCAATTTAAAAAAAAACCAAGATAAATTGGGTGAACACAAGTTAATCTCTAAAAGTCACAATTGTGAAATATTAAACTTGAGCTCAACCAAAAAGCTTAATTCTAAACTAATTTAATGTTAAATGATGAAATAAAAAATCAATTTAAAAAAATTATCAAAGTGAAAAAAAAAACAATAAAAAGAATAGATATTCAATTTGTTAGGAAAAAAAACCTGAGGATGAAATTGTAAAAAATTAATTTAAAAATTATATTAAGCTAAACAAATTAAAAACACTAAGACTAAATTTGAAAGATAAAAAAAATTAAAATGGGTGAAGTTGAAAAAGAATTCCAATTCTATAAATTAATTTAGAAAAAAACAAATAATAATAAAAAAAAATTCAAAGAGAAAAAATTAAAGGGCCACTTTGATATTTTGAAGGGGCACACACGAAAATCAAAAAGGACATAGAGAAAAAAAAAAGAAAGGTCTTCAGTACTAAATTGAACGGCCTTTGACCATATGTACTGACTCTCTAAAGAGGAAACACACCATAATAGAAAATGACATTTGATCACTAAATGACCTCTTATACTCCGCTCGAAACACGTGAGAGCCATCACTCACTAACTCGTGTAACACACGTGCGAAAAATTTTTTTTTGATAATATTTGCATATATTTAATTACGCAATTACTCTTAAATCAATCTTATAATTACAAAAAACCTAACTGCAAATATAAGAATGTCCCTAAACTTAAGCCATAAAAAGTCCACTCCTGAGTTATTCTATTATTCATTAAAAAAAAAGAAGAAGAAAATGAAAACACCTTTTAACATAAGCTTTAAAGATTTTGAATTTAAGGATATAAGGGTTTTTTTTAATGGCCCGGCCTAACATGCTGGATA